AAATGCAATCACCAATAAAGGAGGGAGGATTTGGTCTTCCAAATCTGGAGCTATATCATCATGCTTACCTATTGTCAAGTATTAAATACTGGAAGCCAACAAGTGGTGTTAATTGTACGATTTGGGCAACTTTGGAATATAGATATATATATATTCCTTTGGTTGGATGGCCAGTATTAGGATCTAAATGTACTAATATCTCTGGAAACAATTTCATCAGTTAGAGAGCTATGGAATATAATATCTAATAAAAAAAGATTTCACTCTTTTTCCCACGCCAAATTGACTTTATGGGGAAACCCAGCTTTAAAAATTGGGAAAAACATGGTGATATGGAAAAGTGGGATTGAAGCATGGATATTGACTTTGGACCAACTGACAGATGATGAAGATGAATGTTTAACATACTCTGGTTAAGAGATAAATATAATCTATCAGATGTAACCCAATGGCAATATTTACAACTAAAACATTTATTAACAACATTGTTTGGACCAGCAGCATTTTCAGCTTCTGAGACACCTGAGATATTAGAACAGCTAGTTAAATAGTTGTAAAAACTAAACTAAAAAAAAAAAAAACTTCTATTAGTTTGTATAGATATTTGTTATCAATAAATCAATTTGATATACATATGTTAAGGGATGAGTGGAATAAGGAATTAGAGGTTTCTATATTTCCTAGACAATGGGAGAGTTTCTTAACTTGTATACCAAGAGTATCAATGGACCTTAAACTATGACTTATACAACAAAAAATAATATTTAGAATTTAATGGACTCCACGTCTATATAGAAAAGGATTGTCAAAACAGCATTTTGTTGGAGCTAAAGTAAGGACAATGCCTCTTTAAAGCATATGTTTTTACAATGTCCTATACTTACTAAGTTTTGTGAGAGGTAGTAGACTATATAAATATGATTATGCGACAAAAGCTAAAATTTTCAGAGGATAATATTCTTTTGAACTATATAACCAGTGCATGGAATTTGACATCTGGACAACATAAATGGATTCTCTGTGCCCTTACTATGACCAAAAGACTGATATTGCAGCATTGGAAAGACAAACCTATGGCCCCATTTAG